GGGAGCTGGGGGTCGAGATGGCAGCGGAGCTGGAGGTCTCAGTGGAATGAGAGCTGGGGGTCGAGATGGCAGCAGAGCTGGAGGTCTCAGTGGAATGGGAGCTGGGGGTCGAGGTGGCAGCGGAGGTGGAGGTCTCAGTGGAATGGGAGCTGGGGGTCGAGATGGCAGCGGAGCTGGAGGTCTCAGTGGAATGAGATCTGGGGGTCGAGATGGCAGCAGAGCTGGAGGTCTCAGTGGAATGGGAGCTGGGGGTCGAGATGGCAGCGGAACTGGAGGTCTCAGTGGTATGGGATCTGGGGGTCGAGATGGCAGCAGAGCTGGAGGTCTCAGTGGTATGGGAGCTGGGGGTCGAGGTGGCAGTGGAGCTGGGGGTTGAAGAGTCAGGGGAGCTGGGGATTGATGTGTCAGGGGAGGTGGGCGCCGTATTCGTAGCAGAGGTGGGGTTCGAGGCGGCAGCAGAGGTGGGGTTCACAGTGAGGGGGGAGCTGGGGGTTGCACTGGGAGTGGAGCTGGGAATCTCCGTGGGAGCGGAGCTGGGGCTCACGGTGGCAGCAGAGTTGGAGGTCGTGGTGGCCACAGAGCTGGGGTTTGCGGTGCCAGCGGTGTTGGGGGTCTCCGTGGGAGCGGAGCTGGGGCTCACAGTGGCAGCAGAGTTGGAGGTCGTGGTGGCCTCGGCAGCGGTGATGCTGGATGTGCTCTGACTCATACCTGTCGTGGCAGACGTTGCCCCTGGGGAAAGGAAGAAGAGCAGCAGTTTATACAGCAGCCGGGTAACGCCGGTCGCTCTCCCGGTGGTGTTTGGTGTCGCCCTGTAGTGGTTGCAGTGGAGCTCGCTATTGATGGCTCTGCTCCTGAGCGAAGGCTCTGCCTGGACCCTGTGCTGCCTACATTGCACAGTCCCAAGTCCAGTCCTTGTACAAGACCCAGCAGCTGCCTCCCTACATCAGCATCCTCCTGATTCCACCCTGGCCCTGCCCTGCTGATGGGGCCGAGGGGTATTTCCAGTCACAAGGAGACGTCTCCACCCAGAACACATCCAAAGCCCATGTGCAGTGACTGTGCAGGACACGCAGCCCACCACCCATGCCGGACAAGCAGACAGAGCAGAAATGAAGGGGGAAAGCGCCTTCGTTGCTCGACACCTCCCTATTGCTGACAGCGCCATCAATAGCGCATTTCTTGGCTGCTGCTCTCCTGCACTGGAATAGACTGTGACCTCTTCAAGGCAGGGCCTGTCTCTCCCTGCGTGTCTGTGCAGCACCCAGCACAACGGGGCCTTGATCTCAGCTGGGGCAGGGACTGTCTCTCGCTGTGTGTCTGTGCAGCGCCCAGCACGAACGGGCCCTGATCTCAGCTGGGGCAGGGACTGTCTCGCTGTGTGTCTGTGCAGCGCCCGGCACAACAGAGCCCTGATCTCAGCTGGGGCAGGGACTGTCTCTCCCTGTGTGTCTGTGCAGCGCCCGGCACAGCGGGGCCCTGATCTCAGCTGGGATTGGCAGGTGCTGTGGCAATACAAGAACTGGCAGTAAACCAAGGGATTAGAAACAGAGCCTTTATTTACTGACCAGTCATGGGTGAAATTCTAACAAAAATATATAAGCAGTTTAAACTGCGTGACGGAGGAATTAGTCATCAGATTATAGAAATTCATTCAGTTTCAAACCCAGTGGATTAAATAATCCTTTGTGGTGTCTATTTCCCCGCCTCCCCATCCAAAGTTATCAACGTTTTTTACAAATGCATTCCTCTGCACAAGCCCCTGGTGAGGCGAGTAAGTATAATTAGCCCCATATTCCATGGGGGGGGGAAAAGGGAGAATTACCTTGGCCAAGTTCATAGAGAACAGAAGCAGAAGGCAGGAATTGATGACTTTCAGCCTTGAATCTGAGACTAGAACCCCCCGCCCCCGCTCTAACCACTAGATCCTATTCTCCTCCTGGAGCTGGGAACGGAAGCCAGGAGTTATGATTCCCACTCCTGTATGTTACCCACAAGAACATCATTGTAAAACTAACCGTGTCCGTTGTGGCCACTCATTGGGAAATGTGGATCTTTTCATAAATCTCGTTCAACTTCACTCCCCCGAGATTTAATGGGTCACTTTAGTAAAACCCCAGATCCAAACAACCCTGGAACCTTAAAGGGTTCCAAAATTCGGATCTAGATCTAACTCAAGCACCGATGTGAGCCCCTGGGGCTTATCTCTCGCCTCAATAAACCTAGGAAGTGGGGCTGGGAGTGGTGGGGGCTATTGTCAACTCTAGGGCAAATTAGCCTGTGAAAGAAAGTCTGTGGTTAGCATGTGTATTATAGCGTCCCCTGGGCATTTTTAAAGGATCCAAACATATTGACTTTCACTGAAAGTTGGGCTCCTAACTTTAGATTTGAAAGTCTCAGCTGTTAAACCCACAGGCAGATAGGTAGGAGAGAGACTGCCCCGAATCTAAAGAGACAAAACAGACGAAGGAAGGAGAATTATCTCCATGTTACGGACGGGGAATTGACCCCAGTTCAGACCAATGCCTTCGCCATAAGACCATCCTCTATCTCAGTGCTTCGGGTCTCGTAGGTAGGAGTTAGAGCGGGGACTAGGGAGCCAGGACTCCTGGTGGGTTCTACTCCTATCTCTGCCACTGGTCTGGTCATGTGTCCTCTCTGTGCCTCAGTTTCTCCATTCTATACAGTATGGTTAATAATAATGATCCATTTTGTGAAGCTCAGCTCAAAGACCCCATATAGCCTGAAGTCTCATTACTGGACTAGATTCCCCAGCAAGTGTGAATCAGACATTCACTCAACCCGAGTCAATGGGGCCAGATCCCTATCTGGTGTGAATTGGCCATATCTCCATTGGAGTCAATCAAGCCTGGTCCCCACCAGGCATAAATCGACTTCAGCTGACGATCTGGCTCGTTCTTACTATTAAGGAACGCCGCAAGCCCTTACCTGTCACGGGGAGAGAAAAAACCATGAACCCCAAGAAAATCCACAAAGGAACGCTGGGAGCCGTCCGTGCACGACCCATCGTGGTGCAGTCGAAAGCGAGATTGTTGGCATTTGGGGGACAGCTCTGCTTTTTAAAGGCTTTCTGATTAAGCCCCTGCAGACGTCATTCTGAAGATGACGCTTTCTAACGGCATGTAATCAGAACACACCTTTTTGGTATTCCTCCACTTCAGTGTCATGCTGATCTTTCCCCCAATACCGCAGAGTGTACCTAAGGGGCAGGGCTAGAAACAGTAACTTACGTTATTAACATCCCTGAGCTGCTTGGTCAGGCACTCAGTGATGAAGGCATACAAAAATCCTTATCAGGGAAAGGGAGTGGAAGTGATTATGATAACACTGAAGAGAAACAGAATGATTTATTTTTTTTATGCCCCGCTGGTTTGGTAGAGATCAGGTGTAGTGTGCTGGTGTACAAAAAGGCCGGGGGAAAGAATGAGCAGTGTTTGACTAAGTGTTTTAGTTAGATACGCAGGGCACATGTGCTTGGATAGCTAGATACTACAAACAGCGAGATGATGGATGGATGGATAAATTGAAAAGTGAAGATATGCATAGCTAGGATAACAGCTAGGCGTGTTTTTTTACGTCACCTGCAACTATTTCTGTCCCCTGATTTGAATGATCTGACCTTTATAAACTGCTTCCTTTCGAAACAATTAGTCACCAGATATGTGATTAGTTACCAGATATGTGTAATGTTCTAGTGCTATACGGACCTCAGTGGTGGGCCCAAACATGTGCGGTGGGTCCCATAGGTTGGGGGAGGCTGTGCCTCCCCCAAACAGCCAGGCGTGGTCCTGCCCATGCTCCGCTGTGCCCAGGCCCCCCCTCCTGCTTACCACCGCTCTGCATGCGTGTGGCTCCTCCAGTCCCCCTGTGCTCTGGCCAGGGCCAGCGATCCGGGACTGGGGGAGCTGGGGCCCTGTGCTTCCCGCCTTCCCGGCGCTCTGGGGCTGGGGAGGCTGTGGCCACATGCCGGCCACCCTCCTGGTGCTCCTTTGGGGCTGGTGGGGCTAGCCTGAAGCAGGGCTCAGGGTAGGTAGTTGTGGTGTGGGGGAACTCTGGGCTCCAGCGGGGGTGGGGTGGGATGGCAAAAGCAGGGCCTCAGATGAAAGGGGCCAGGCTGGGGGCTAGCCTCCCCCAGCCAGCGGTTCATGCGCTGCCCATGGGCCCAAACATATTTTTCTTCTGCAAAACTTTTGCATGAGCCAAACTTGGCTCTCAGGAATGCAATGTGGATCAAAGAGAAAACTGAATTGAGCATTTGCAAAAGTCTAGGTATCGCTTTTCCCATGACTAGCCCAGCCCTGCTAGCAGCTAGCTGGAAATCAACGGGCCAGATTTTCAATGGGTATTTAAGCACTTGTCCTACTAGGCATCCCTTTAGGGATCAAAATGCCTTTGAAAATTTGGCCTCAAATCTCTTATTGACAAGGGGGTTAAAACTGAAATTGACCAAGGGTTAAAATGAAACTGACTAGAAATTCAGGGGGTTATCCATCAATGCATTGCTCCATATCTGTGCTGCATAACTCCATTCATCTCAATGTCCTGCAATCAAAATAGAGTCACGCAATGGAGAATTTGACTCTTCAGCCCATATCCTCAGCTGGTGTGAATGAGCAGAGTAGCCCCAAACCTACCTCGATTTCCTCCCACTGAAGAGCTGGATCTGAGTGGCTAGTCTGTTTTCATCGTCCAGTCTGAATGAAACAAAGGGGATGTCTACACTATGAAATTAGGTCGAATGTATAGAAGTCGTTTTTTTAGAAATCGTTTTTATACAGTCGATTGTGTGTGTCCCCACACAAAATGCTCTAAGCGCATTAAGTTGGCGGACTGCGTCCAGAGTACCGAGGCTAGCGTCGACTTCCGGAGCGTTGCACTGTGGGTAGCTCTCCATAGTTCCCGCAGTCTCTGCTGCCCATTGGAATTCTGGGTTGAGATCTCAATGCCTGATGGGGCAAAAACAGTGTCTCGGGTGGTTCTGGGTACATGTCGTCAGGTCCCCCTCTCCCTCCCTCCCTTCCTCTGTGAAAGCAACGGCAGACAATCGTTTCACGCCTTTTTTCCTGGGTTACCTGTGCAGACGCCATACCACGGCAAGCATGGAGCCCGCACAGCTGACCGTCACCGTATGTCTCCTGGGTGCTGGCAGACGTGGGAGTGGTACTGCATTGCTACACAGCGCCAGCTCATTGCCTTTTGGCAGCAGACGGTGCAATACAACTAGTAGCCATCGTCGTCGTACTCCTGGGTGCTCTTTTAGCCGAACTTGGTGAGGTCGGTCAGGGGCGCCTGGGCAGACATGGGAGTGACTCAGCCAGGTCATTCCCTTTTTAAGTTTTGTCTCCTGGAGACTCAGTCCTGCCGGCCGTCGTACTGCACTGTCTTCTGGCGAGCAACCCAGGAGATGACGATGGCTAGCAGTCGTACTGCACCGTCTTCTGGCGAGCAACCCAGGAGATGACGATGGCTAGCAGTCGTACTGCACCGTCTTCTGGCGAGCAACCCAGGAGATGACGATGGCTAGCAGTCGTACTGCACCGTCTGCTGCCAACCTAAGATGTATAAGAGAGATGGAGTGGATCAAAACAAGAAATAGACCAGATTTGTTTTGTATTCATTTGCTCCCTCCTTCCCTCCATGAAATCAATGGCCTGCTAAACCCAGGGTTTTGAATTCAATCCTTGAGAGGGCCATTCTGTGTGACAGTTGTTTGTGTTTCTCCTTGATGCAAAGCCACTCCCTTTGTTGATTTTAATTCCCTGTAAGCCAACCCTGTAAGCCATGTCGTCAGTCGCCCCTCCCTCCGTCAGAGCAACGGCAGACAATCGTTTCGTGCCTTTTTTCAGTGCAGACGCCATAGCACGGCAAGCATGGAGCCCACTCAGATCACCACAGCAATTATGAGCACTGTAAACACCATGCGCATTATCCTGCAGTATGTGCAGCACCAGAACCTGCCAAAGCAAAACCAGGCGAGGAGGCGATGGCAGCGCGGTGATGAGAGTGATGAGGACATGGACGTAGACCCCTCACAAAGTTCAGGCCCCGGCAAT